GGTGTTGTGAAGAAGTCTGTAGTTGCAACTGGTAAGCCGTTGCTGAATAGAGTGTCACAGAATAGAGTTACTGCTTCAGAGTGGAGTTCTGACTCCAAAAGTTTACAAGGTATTACTAGTCAGTGTGAAGTTATAAAACCTTTTAGGATTTGCGAGGAGGAACCAAAATTGTCTACTTCTGTTATTAAAGAGTTTGAAAATGATGAAGTTGACGGTAAAGTGAATATTCGTGATAATGATCATGATACTTCACAGTTGTCTTTGGTTGATCATGATGAGATGAGGGATATGCCTACTACTGCTAAGTTAAATAAAGGTTCTGTACAACTACAACGTGAAGTAGAATTGAACGCAGATGCAGTTCCAAAAGGTGTGCATACTAGTGAGACAGTCAGTGTAATTGATCAGCGTGTAGCCCACCTATCATCAGATGATAGTGCTAAACCCGAACTAGTAGTGAAAGACAGCAGTGGTGGTAATCTTGCAGTTGGACAACTATCTGAGAGCCGAACAAGAACAGCTTCTGATCCACCACTAAGTTCATCACCTTGTGTCACTCAGTCATCGTTGGTGCTCTCATCCACAATGAAACAGACACCCATCAGCTCAAGTATCTTGTGCAATGACTATGGTAGTATCAGTTCGTTTGAAAGGACGAATATCAATGGTCAGTTTAGTGTGGATAAGCCAAGTGTAAAGGAGAGAGTTATTGTTAAATTGACTTGCACGAATAAAGGCATTTCCAGTTTCAAGTTACTATTTGAATGTTATTATCTTTGGTGTAAATTACTCTGTTTCTACACTTGGTTGATGAGATATGTCGTGTGTTTGTTGGTCATCTATATTCTACGATACAATGACATGGGCGTGTTGCCGTTCAGATTTGAGGATATAGCTGATAGAAGGAAGTTAGCAAATGAACTCTGCGACGATTTTCCAACCTAGGGCGTCAACCTGAGAAGGGTTGTAGGCGTACTGCTGTAAGTCCTACAGTTCTTCAAGGGCAGTTTGTCGTGTCAGAATCGACAACATTTGATGTAGTGATTGTACATATGTTTGTGTTAAATAGTTGTGTGAGTTCCATTTATTGTAATTGTTGAATAATCTTGTTTGTGTCCGGACATTCAACAACTTACAATGGTCAACCTTTGAAGGTTTGTAGGCATACTGGTGTTAGCCCTGCGTTTCTTCAAAGGAATTCCTTCAAGACATGAACTGCGAGTTTGTGTGTACTTTTTGTATATATGTGTGGTGTGTCATATCAGTTGGTGTTTTTTGGATTCATTGTGTTTACACGTTGTTTTCGTACCTTGTTGTTATTGCATAATTTTGTTAAAATTTTCGTCGTGATTGTTTCTGAAGTTGTGTCCACTCTTCTACATCAATGAATGAATTGATTGATGTTAAGGACAGCAGATGGGTCGTATACGCCGGGGAGGCTAGGCTATTGCTGAGAGTGAAATGCACACGGAGATAATTGTTAGCTGCGGTCCGACACGCCGGGGAGAAAGAGTGTAAACGACTGAGGCTCGCATGCGTCACCGCTACTAGAACTGAGGCAGAATGAGTGACAAGCGATTTCAATGGTAATTGGTAGTGAGTAATTAAGAGGATGTGCGTAGAGTATCGTGAGGTCCTGCCATGGTCACTTTGCATTCTGCAAGAGTCATTCTAGCAAATGGCGATTGTGTTGCAAGATGTCAAGAGGAGGTCTCTGTCTGGACGCGCAGGTTGTCATTGATGTGTAAGATTGTGCTGTGGGTATGCCTGTGGTGTGTTGGCTTTTCTGTTTGTTTTCCATTTCAGCTCTGTCCGTGTGACCCAGGTTCTCGCAATGGCATCCAAGTCAACGCGCATTGATTGTGAAGGAAAAAAGGGTGGGATCCCTTTTTTGCCGGGGAGTGTCAATGGAGTTGAAGATTGAACGATCAATTCTTGGTTGTTTGCTTAAAATCAACTTCCCCAATTTTCGCGGAGGCATCAATACGACAGTCATCGTCTCATCGGTCGCTGTTCAGAAAGAAGAGTGAAACATCGTCAGAAGTAATACAGAGATTTATTATTGTAATATTTGTTTTCAGACCTTAGTTGCTTAGTTCGTTTATTCCTTTTATATGTTGGTGTAACAATAAAGAAATAACAAGCAGCAGATCGGTGTTTTGGTTTTTGCGTCCGTTATTACTAAGCGTTTCTGAAACTCAAAGGAACAGCGTGGGCCCGAGCGTAGCGAGAGCTGGGCATTAACGGTTTATGAGACGTAGCTGACACTGACAGTTTCTGAGAGTTGGCTGACAATATATGTATTCCTACCTATGTAGGACACCAGTTTTACGGGCATGGATGAGGACTATTTAAATTACATAAATTTGATTCATGGTAAAATAATCTGTGAGGCTATCAAAATTAATTTTACCCACAATCGGATTATACTCTGTCACAGTGCACAAGTTGTATTCCTATATCAACGAGTTATATACAATACCACATACTAACTGATCCACTACAAAAAATTCTGCGAAGCTTCTAATTATAGATAGGAGTAAAACAACACTGCCTTTTATCACTGATAACATTCCTCAGTTTGGTGGACCGGACCATGTGGGGAGAGAGAAGACAGGAATACATTGGAATGACCGATGAGAAGACTCTAGAGGATTTGATTTCCGCTTGTGGGTAATTGATGTTTAACGCCACACAAACTCGAAGATTTACAGGCAAATACCAGAAAGTAAGCAGAAGAGGCAGGCAGTAAATACAGGAATTCAAATGAACATAAAAGAGATTGAGGCGATGAAGATAAGCAGTCAACAACAAATACTAATCAATACCGGCGGGGAAATTTCAATTGGGTCACTTCTTTCACTTATCCAGGCAACATCGTTCCGACTAAAGGCGAGTGGCACAGACAAGGACATCAAAACCTCAATCGGAAAGGCAAGGAAAACCTTCATCGCTCGGAAATAAGCTTGGGAATTTACTGCACTCAACATACAGAACAGATTTTGTAATTTTAACACCAGTGTCAATTAGTCAGTTATTTTCTATGGGTCATAAATTTGCAGTGTGCATGTCGGTAAGCATTCACAATAAGCCAGGGAAGACTTTTATCAGCAGCCACTTTCTCTGGCTACAAAATGAAGATCAAATGCTTCACTAAGAAGAACTGACACCAAGAAACTCTAGGAACGAGCCAATCAAGAGCCTACTGCTCAACAAATATACTGAAGAAAGTGGAAATGGATTGGGCATACGCTGAGGAGACCACTGGGTGACATCTTGAACAAGTCCTTCTAGTGGAGCGGGAATGCGAAACAGCGAGTTGGCCACTAAGTTTCACATGATATTTATTATTATTGTAACTACACCTACACTATGGCTGAATATTTATTTTGTCCTACTGAGGATTGTTCGGTAAAATATAATCTGTATGATTTCTTCGTTTCACACTTTCTCTATACTCCACAAGTGTTTTTGTCTCATGCTGCGTGTATTGTAAAATCACAGCATTTTAATTCATTGAGGAATGTGAAGAGCTAGTAAGGCGTACCTTTACGCCGCCAGGTCAGTTCGGTTGCTCACCACTGTCAAACAAAGCAGGATATACAGCTGTCAATGTCTGTTACCTCCATTGTGAGTAAAATTGAGGAATCGGATACCTGAAAGCTGATAGGTTAAGATATTAGGCCATTCTACCTCCATGTAGCATGCGTATCCGGTCATACTTATGAAAATAATTCCTATCCACTGCATACTGGATTATATTTTGCTCAACGTGCCCCATTTCGATAAAACTGTAATTTACACATTAAGAAAACTACAGAGGCACGGTCTCCAAACAGTATTGCTGAGGTACGTTTCCCGTGCGCTTTCACTACGACTCACTGCTATGTCAAATAACACTGTATCAACAGCAGTTTTGCATTCAAAAGAAACGGTTTTTAGCCTAAAACTATGCAACGAACACATAAGCACTCTAAGTTAATAACACTGGCACATCATTTGACAAGTTCAGAGCGGGGACAGTATTCAAAATGCAATATCTCCTTTCAATAGTCAGAACACTAGCCAACGAAATGTAGGGAAGACATACTTGAGTAAAAGCCCCAGAAATTCGGAAGGTCAATTCGAAAGTCTACTGAGGCAATGTTTTTAAACCTCTCCTCATTATAAAGTACATAGCTAGCTGGAATATAGTTGATGTTCATAGAAATAGACCAAAAGGCATATATAATCTTTTCAATCAGCATGACATCGCAAACACCTTCCACATATATAAGTGGTAAACAACTCTGAGAAAGAAATTTCTATGATATGTCTTAAGTAAAACTGGCATAGCATCCAAATTATTCACCTTCATAATTTTAGAAATGTTGTAATTATTCATGTCAGCCTAATCAAGCCCAGTGAAAAGTGTGAAGACGCGGCTTGATATACGTTTCCAAAAAAAGAATCGTAAGCTTAGTGTAGGTTCACCTTTGGCAGCAAGCAATCTGTGACAAGCAAATTCACCGACAACCAAAATGGAACTCTGACACTTACTTTTTGAGCGGACAAGTTAGGCTGGAGATACTCATGCACTCTCTGTAGTTAGCCAGGGACACGCCTCGGCCTGGCAATGCTTGTCCTGATTTGTGCGTCGAAGTCGCCGTGCTAAACACGTTCTCATTTGGCCTGCTATCTGTATTAGATCCGTGTGGTATGTTCTCACATCTGCTTCCAACGACCCAAATCTTGAAGTTTCCTGCAAAATCAGAATTCTAATCCAAAACAAGTCGGAAGGGCTAATGAATGCCTAAGTTTTGCTATCCTTAATAACCTGTAAAATGATGTTAACTGCAACTGCATAAATGGAACTAATCTATTTTGAATGTTATGGAATTGTCAATGCTTCTTTAGAGATATGTGAATGAGGCCATAAGTGTGCGTGTGGAAGCTGAAGGCACTTAGTTTTCAGCAAATCAATGTTTACATCTTGATTGTTTTATTGCTCTGTAGTACCTGTCCTTGTGATTAAGCGCTACATTCATCTAGAGTGCTGTTTGATTCGCTCGGTAGGATGTACGGCCCGTCTGGTGTGCCTGGTATGTGTGTTATTTTAGTTAACAAGCTGTAAATATTGCTTAGAAGGCATTATAGAGCTGACAAACAGTGCTCTATCTATAATAAATGTGGAACCCTATATCAAGACAGTCGAAGACATAACACCGTCTTTTGTTCTCGATCTTGCAGTTGTTCTGTTCGGCAGTGATATTCGTAAGTTCAGAGTAAACTATATCTATAGCTCTTAGTACCTTACCCTGACATCGTGGAGCCTGACCAGGTTGAAAACTTTGACGCTATTTTGTCAAAATTGTCACACGAAATCGGAGAGGACCTTGACCATATCAAACCAGAAGAGCTAATGGTTGGAGAACCCCAAGCGTTGTATGACTACCTTATCCTTCTTGCCGCATTTATTTCATACTGTCATGAGAGAGGCCTACTTAAGTTCCCGATTTCCAGCTCTGAGTCCCATTCCTTTGATTCCATTGTCCTTTCACCTAACGACCCTAAATTGAATTCACAACCAAAAGAATATCTTGGTAAGTTGAAGGGTTATTTCGTATATGGATATAAGAAGGTTAAATCATGTGTTTCACGTTGGTTTATTTTTGGTTTCGCTTACATGTCTTTAAAAACTCAAACTAGTCTCGTGAATTTCGAGGAATAAGATTTTCACAGACGGGCCACAACTTTAAACTTGTAATACAACTTGATTCTAGCTCCATTAGCTCATCATGGCCGCAAAATAACTGGGGATGCGATAATTAAGACTTCAATATTGATGTCTAATTTTTGGCGGAATCAGTAAATGTTTTCTGGTTTTACGTATATTTAGTTGCCAGTGTATCGTAAATCTGATGTGATATCAAGGCAAATAACACGTAAAACACATTGTGTACTACATTGGCTGTAATGTGACTCCAGCTTAAGTCAGTAGGTTCGATGTGGTTTAGCTTTAGTCCATGCAACTTACATTGATGTAATTGTCCTGAGGGGGTATGAACTGCCTGACTGGGACCTTAGATATGCCAAAACATTAATAGTTGGACACTGAAATAACTCCAAGTTGTGAACGATAACTGGTTCTGAGTGTTTTCTAATGATTTTATCTCTTCCACGCGCATATCCTCATCCGTTAACGTCCCACAATTTTTTTCTGTCAACATTAGTGAGTAAACTTCGAAATATAGTGAGCTGTGGATTGTTGCTTAAAAAACTAATCGTAAAGACCTCAGCTAACTACAGCTTTCTATGCTAGTATTCATAGCTGTGTTCTTCAGATCGTAGAAGAAAAATCCCTAAGTATTAGAGAAACGCTACATGTATGTACTTGTGGCTCTACAATGCTTTACGATAAGGTCTGAGTGTGAGTGTATTAGTATCTACCTTTTATTCTCTGAAACAGGCAACCAATTTCTTATTCGAAAATTCCTGGAATAGTATCGGCTTATGAAAGTGTGCGGAGAATTTCGCTGTTTAAAAACTGACTCATTCACTGCTTTCAACATAGAACTTAGCACAGATGTGCACCAGTTCGAGTTTTCACACTCCATTTAGCGCACAAGCAAGAGAAGAGAGTGCAGAGAAATTCAAAAGACAGATAATAAACAAAAGTGAGGGAAAATAAATAGTTATATGGAAGAAGAATGGAGTATTATTGGATATGATGAATCACAAAGAGTAAATGCATCTTCACCAGCCATTGACGACGATTTCGCGCCATGTCACCAACTGTCTCCAGCAACTGGTTTCTACCATTCTGAGGATCCCAAACAGTCAGGAAGTCTACACCTCCATACGTGGCTAACTGGATGGCTTAAACTAATTTTTGTGGATTTCATTTCATGCGCAACACATTTCCTAATCATCTCTCACAGTCGATTCATCTGCTGCACAACCTCGTCGATTGATTTCCCCTTCCACTTACCTAGCACTTAACCTACGCCTCACCTGAATATTACCTGCCATATTATACCAGCTGACACAGGAGAGAGAACTAAACACCTAGCCTTTTGATGTCTCCCGCTTTCAGTGGTCATGTCTCAGCCATAAATGAGGATGCAGCAAAGTGACTGCTGAGCAGTACAGACGCCCTTTGGTTGACAGCTGGATATCGTGTCTAAACTAGGGATGGCGTAAGTTGGCAGGCAAATGCAAAATGAGACTTCTGTATCCATGCTGCGATTTCGTCAGTGATCAACCCGTCGGCGTTGGTTGGCTGATGCAACTTCCCAAATAAGTGAAGTGGTCAATTCGGTCCACCACTTCATTCCATATCTTTAAGCTAGGAGTCAATGCAGTCCAGTCCTTATATTTGACGACAGGAGCGAATCGCATGCGAAACATCCAAGGATTGCCGCCCCTCAAGGTTTTTTCAGAAGACTTCGCATTTTGTTTGAAGATATTTTATTCTGACTAATGCAGCTATGTAATTGCTTACTGAGAGGTTTTCATGTGAGATAAAGCCAGTTGTTGATACATTCAAATACCGTTCATTGTTGCCAGTATTTTTAAACTTTTCTATGCAATAATTGAAGTAGACAGACTTCGCATTTATAAATGATTGGTTTGGTATCTAAGTAAGAAGCATTACTCATATGGCAAATAGATTGACAAGACCCAGTTTTTAAGTAAATGTAATGGTAATGCTTAGTAGCAGTAAGCAATGACGACTAAACAAGCAGAGATATTGGTTTCTAGTAGCAATAGACGATTGTTAGACCTTGCTGTATGTTACTCTAGTTGGAGATGAATTACCCAGTGATTGAGACTAAAATCTCTCAAGAATCTTATGCTTACAAAAATGGACAGTTGCCTTTTTTTCGGTTGTAATTTCAAGTTAAAATGCAAGCCTGTGCATAATTTTGAACAATTCAAAGCACCTCTACATCTTAAAAATTTCTATATGTGTTACTCAGTAACTACTTGCAGCTGTATGCAGTTGGCAGTTAGCCATACCTATTATGTGAGGGCTAGTCATATTATCATGACCTTAGGCCATAGGTTTAAAAACGATGTGGTGGTTGCTGCTGTTTCTGTCGAAGAGAACTCATCTCTATTCGATGCAATAGTGAATGCATGCTATAATTAGTGAAATTGTAACATTCCTTAAGTGATGTTTGTCATCGCACATTACTATTCTTTTTCCATGACTCACACTTCTGCCTATTATCTGTCTTTTGAATCTTTCTTCACTCTTCTCTTGCTTGTGTGCTAAATGGTGTGTGACAGCCCGAACTGGTACACATCTGTGCAAAGTTCTATATTGAAAACAGTCAGATCTGTAGAAGCTGCTAAGTTGTTACTAGAGGCAGAATTGAGGTCATGTACCTACATAACGAAGGTATTAATTGATGATCTATACATCTTCATCATGGAAGATCTTTTTGTCACGACTGCAGTTCAAAGACTGAGAGAACCCCAAATTACCCTGTGTAATTGTAATCGACAGTGGAACACAGTTCATATCATGTAATTCCTGGGATTCATTAAAGACTATTAACATCCAACACTTTTAGGTTCTTTCATATCATCAGTCGAATAGTCAAGTAGAACGGTTCGATGACATTCTCAGAAATAGCCATTGCATAAGGAAAGGATAGGGGAAGTGCTACAAACAATTATTTTAAGTTATCGATCAGCACCAACCTATTAAATGGAAATACATTCTAACATACCAAAAACAGAAAACACGTGATATTTGGCGTAGTCTCCGCCAGAAACTTGTTATAAGCTTAATCAGTCTGTCTGTCTGTTTTCGACATAGAACTTTGCAACGATGTGCAACAGTTCAAGTCATTACACTCCATGTAGCACACAAAGCAAGAAAAGAAGGTAGAAGAAGTGCATACTAGAGACAGTAAACAGAGGTGTGAGACAAAGGAATAGTAATAACGAAGAACAAAACAGTTTCATTGAAAATCATAAGTCACAAGAAGTGGATGCATCTGCTCCATTGAAGACGATTTTGAGCCATATCACCGATTGGCTGCAGCCGTCATTGGTTTTTACCGTCCCGAGGACTCCAACCAGGAAGTCTACACCTTCCTACGTGGCTTGGACTAACTGTTGTAGATTTCATTGACTTGCGCCATGTTTTAGTTTGACCTCCGGTAGCTCTTTTCCAGCCTGGCTCTATATCAGCTAACATTGCCCGTCGAGGAAGGCGATGACTAGGCATGCATACGTAACACATGTCCTAACCATCTCAGTCGATGTAACTTCACAACCTCGTCGAGTAATTTCCTCTGCTTGCCTAGAACTCGACGCCTAACCTCAATATTGCTCACCTTATTATACCACTTCACACGAGAGATAAAACGCAGGCACCTATGATCAAAGACAGCTAATCTTTTCATGTCTTCCACTCTCAATGGCCAGGTCCCACAGCCATAAAGGAGGACGGAGCGGACTGATGAGCTTAATCAGTAACTAAGTAAAAGTCACAGAAATGATGTGGTTGCTACATGTGTAACCCACATCAAAAAAATAAGGACTTGGTTACATATATGTTTTTTATTTTTTTATTTTATTGTGTCACTCGTTCGGTTTTAGAAGGATTCTAATAATCTCGTTTCACCTTCATGTTTTGATGTATTTGTTTGGGTTGTAGTAACTTAAATTGTCGCACAGTGTTATTAAAAGTTCTACTTTCCCATTTACTCCTAAATAGAAGACAAAAGAAAATTTGAGCAAGTAATATTCTTTTCGATAATTTCCTCTCCCGGCTCTACACAGTATATTGTAGAATAACCGTTATTAACAATATTAGTGTTTGTTAAGTACTATCGATTTGTTAAGGTCGCAGTGGAATTTCCACAGTTCAAGAAAGCTCCATAAGTTATAATAGGTATTAAAATGTAATCGTAAATAGAATATCAAGTAAAATTAAAGAAATTTCTACAACAACAAATTGAGGATCATTCAAACCTTGATGGCCAAGGAGGTGGTAAGGACAGTGTCTGAACCAACTTCTTTTGGATAAGTTAAGCTTCTTAATTAAGGTGGATTCCAACAGCCAGTCTCAGTAATATGTAATAGACGAACTTTTGAGGTAAAACTAAGTTTAGTTAGTATACGGTAGATGAATTTGAAAGTCGTCTTATTTACATCAATTTCTGTTGTATATCTACGTTATATATATATATATATATATATATATATATATATATATATATAGCAATGATCCACACCTATTGTGTTAGTATTAGCTACCCAAACTTCATTAAACAAAGACGGCTTCAATTTCATATATATCTGGTTCAAAACAGAATGTACATTAATTATCCTTGATCATCTCTTAATACTATAAGGTATTATGTATTGGATCTGTCTTTAGCTTATTATCTTGTGTGCAAATCTACATCTAGGCATTGAATGTGAAACATTTGTCAGAGTTGTTAACATCATTTATTGCATCAGCCAGCGCCAACGGGTTAATCGCTGATGAAATCTCATCACAGATACAGAAGGCTAGTTTTGCATATGCCAGTTTACACCATCTCTACCGCAGATGTGATATCCGGCTATCGACCAAAGG